ATATCCTGGGGAGTATCCCCGATGTCAACTGCCCCTGGTCCTGGTCCTGGTGGTAACGTAGAGTGATTGAGTGAAGTGAGAAGTGACCATCGATATCGATGGAAGTGACTAACCGACACTGTCGTCACCGCACCAAAAAGTAGGGGCATGTCAAGAGGTAGGGGGGACGGGAGGCTGCTCCCACTCCACACCTGTATAGCTCCGCCCATTCGCTGCGAGGGGGAACCACGTTTCGAAGCAGTGCCTGACCACGCACATTCTTTCGGACCAGTGCCTGACCCTTGCATTCTTTTCTGACTAGTGACTTTCGGTGTTATAACTTTCGGAGCAGTGCCTGGATGCACATATTGTTTCGGACCAGTGCCTGTATGCACAAAATGTTTCTGACTAGTGACTTTCGGAGTTGTGACTTTCGAACCAGTGCCTTTCGAACTTATGCCATTCGAAGCAGTGCCTGACCATGTAATTTCTTTCGGACCAGTGCCTTTCGGAGTACTGACTTTCGGACCACTGCCGCGCTCCCATACGCGCCACGCACAGTGGGAAATTGGCGGGATTTTATCCCGATTCGGGGATACAATTTCCTTGCAAGAGGGATCAAATTGGACGCTCGCCGTGAATTTGTCTACGTTAACGATTAGTTTGCTTACAGTAATACAGTTTATGGAACAAAGTAAAATGTATGTAACAATATTATTTTTTGAATATCCGTAACTTTCTGCTTATCTGATACAAAATATATTATTACACACACACTTACAAGATGCTACTTCCCTTACTATTTGCTGTAAAATCATTCATAGAACTATTAAAATAATATCTTATCCACATGTTGATCCATAATTGTCTGTCAACGTTGTTGCACTATTATGCCGGGTAGTTGTAGTGCACGCCTTCAAATCTGAAGGTCGCTGGTTCGATTCCGTAACTGGACCGAGATGTCATTTGCCATTTGGCTATAACTTTATTGTGCTATCTAACAAAACGGTCGACGATTGTAACGAGGCCAGGGGTTTGGACCGTTCCCTTAACAAAAATTTAAAATTTCCACAGGTGCAGGTAAACGCAAAATAAATACGGTAAAGATAAATATCTATGATTTCATGATAGTTTACTAAATTTTTGTAGGAGTCACATATTCAGAAGGTTGTCGATTCAACCCTGAAAAAGTCAATAGGTTTTTGACGTTTCCAAACCGAAAGAGCTGTTTTTTTTATCATTGAGTTTAAATAAAATTAATCAGGGCTATAGAAAACGCTTGATAGAGTGGCTAATTAAGGCATCTTATGTCATTCCCCCAGCCCCCCCTCATACTCAGAATAAAATACGTATTTTTTTTAGCCTTGTTTTTGTTTTGCACTAACTTTATTCATCAAGGTTAAGATAAGGAGCAACGAAAGCAAATATTTAGTATTCCTTGCCCGATGGTCAGATGCTAAGACTTTAAGCCGTTGGAAACGCTTTTTGGAAAAATACTAAACGTCGATTGTTCGTCACTCAGTTGTAAAATATGCAACACTATTCACAAAATTTTTCACAATTACTTCAAATCGAGGATGATACAAAATTACGATTTTAGTGATTGACTCTCTTCAAAATAAACGTCAAATCGATCATCTCAGTGGATGGTTGGGACAGACTCCGGAGAGTAGGATAGGTTGGAAATTTCTTAACACAACTTTAGGATAAAAAGGACTTTTACTTTAAGTGTGGACCATACTGAGCATTGTGTGGATAGTAGTTGCATTGCTGCAACGGTCATTACGCTGGGGCTACGTGCAGTTAGCTGCGTACGCTGATACTACGTGCCAAGTATTCTGTAAACAGAGGGCGAAGAATTCAATCTGACGATCTAAATCCATACTCGGACCGGTAAATCCACATTTCTAAATAGAAAGGAAAGGAAATGCTGTACAGTATTGTAAAGACCAACTGTGCATGTTAGGAAGCTCATAACTTAATATTCGCATAGACAAAAAGAATCAAGACTGTTAGCCGTAACCTTTGTCATACTAGTTCGAAAAGTTCCATGTCCAGTTTTACTACTTGTATTTACTTTTTGAATGAAACAGAACCAGGTTTAGCAGGGACCAACCGGTACTGAGACCATTTACTATTTTTGTCTTATATTCGTACTTTATAACCAAGCTAAACTTATATGGGCTCTATTGTTGTTAACTCTATTGTTTTGATATTTCCATCAACCAGCTTAGTATGCGGAGACCAAAAGAGATACATATATCATTCGTCTAAAGATAACCACTTAAATGATTTAACGACGATAAACAATGTTTGAGTAAGGGGAAATGATTTCTTGTCCAAATGTGATGTTACTACCATGTAATCACATCATATCTTGGCACGAGCTATGATCATGATGGATCCAATGATGGAATGGCCTACATATGATGCGACGTGGAGGTCGAGGGGAGACCCCTTTGACAATCATAACTTCCGCAGCTATGAGTTGTTTATAGACCCCCACTTCTGGACGTGAAAATCTAATAATAATTGTGTCGCTTATTGTAATTCAATAAAAAATTAAAATTAAGTATTTAAAAATTATTGGTTTTTATTTTTCGAGTTTTCTACCCACCCGATTATGAATTTAGTCCTTTTCCCGTCCTTTACTCTTATGACTGGAATCCAAATCACACATTTTTTAAATCGCCGAGAAAAATATTGTCGATATCAACACACTTAAACGTAGCCAACATGGCACACGTCAAAGCAGGTTTTACTTTTTATAATAGGATGAAAAGTCGCCTAGTACTACTAAAGTCAATGCCAGAATGCAATGATAGGTCTTACAAAATAGGCTACACTTGTGACAAGAAATATAAAAGAATTGTATCTGAGCATCGTGGTAAATGTAATGAAATCACACTCTACAAATAAAGTTATAAAATCCATCATAATGTCGATTTGTCAAACCAAGTACTTAAGTAACGCCTGAATTACTTCTGTAGGCAGATTATACAAGGTATAGTGTCGCAAGTTGCCTATCATGCGAGGGTGGCGCTACATAGATTTGAAATTATTTCATATCACAGTGGAAGTGGACCGCCTTAACAAGCCACCCTCGATAACACGAGACATTTTCAAATCCCCTTGAATCTATTTTACCCATGATCACATAACATGGATAAGAAGTCAACCTTGATAACAAGTCTCATTTAACAATCCCCATGAGAGTATTGTTATCGAGAGTTGTTATGAGAGTATTGTACTACCGTATTTGGTTTTGTATATTAGATGATATTAGTCACGTTGGTTTAAAACTTAAATCATGTAAACATTTTATGATCATTGTGTACAGCTTTTCTCTACTCTTTTAAATAGTAGTAATTGGTAATACATTTTTGCTTAGAACAAGTACCTAATAATTTAATGCACATTGGAAATAACGAAATATACCTTGAAATCTGTTCAAAACTAAACCAATATATTTTTAGTCATTCTAAATCAACTACAGGAGTATATAATTGATCTGGAAGACTCTATTTTGACAATTGAATTAATACAAAATAAACATACACATGAAAAATATCCTATCAAATAACGGAAATTACAAAGGTCAGCCGTTACAGTGGCAGTGAATAGTTATTGATCAATTACCAGATTGCGGAAAATAATTTAAATGATGATTGATCACAAATTGGAATGGATGGTCAATAGAAACTTAATTGACGAAAGGATCAAAAACGATTCTGGCTTTGATAGCGACCTGACCTGACTGTCAATTTAACAATATCACACGAAACAAAGACTCGAGTTAATTGAATTTAATTGAGCGAGTAATGAACAGTTGGTTAATTTGTCAAAAAGTGGTTCATATATAGAATTCCCCTGACAAATTTATTAGCATTTTTTATGTATTACTTCAAAACATTATCTTTAGCTCTTTTGCAGGAAAGATTTAGAATGTTTTTGGGTTAAAAATTCAACATCTTGAATATATTTTTTAAATAGGATGTATGCGGGACTGCGAAGATTACGGGTACACAGTTAAAAGTGTTATAATTGTGTAGTTTTTAGACCAGGGTGTTTAAGTTATCCACTGGGAGATGACATTTAGATAGAGATATCATGGGAGCGAATTCCACATTTAGGGCATATAGCTGTTAGCGTGTCACGGTAAGACTCAGGGCTGATTTGCTTTTTCGTTATTTGCTTTATGTGTGTCTGTTAGCACGATAAATTTTAAGATTTTAATGAAATTTGTTACAAATAAACCCATGTTTATTCCAACGAGTTTGTGAACCAGCATAATCGGACCAGGGGAACGGGGATTTTGAGGGGTAAAAAAGGGGTTTCTCATTTTCGACCCTCAAAACATAGAGTTTCCCAATTTTTCTTTAAACCATCATGTAGAGCTTAAAAAACAAGTAATTTAGTCTGTTGAAGTGTTTTTGGTGTCTTAATGAGAATCAGTAAATTATCGTAGCTTGTTGGCAAACTCTATAAATTAATTAATTTTTTACTAAGCTACAGAATTATTTTATTTTCCAAACAATACAGTTTCTTACCCTTCCTGTAGCAGCAAACCTAGGTACTTATTACACCTAATGTTTTATAAATATATTCATGGGAATATCAAATCAGGTAAATGGAAATTTGATTGGTATGCAGGTTTGCTGCGGTGGGGGTATTCATTTTTGGTTAGCAGATGTCTGAATATAGGGCTCAAGATCAGTTCGAATCCAACTGGCGTGTTCTTATCCAACATTAGTACGTGGCTAAAATCAATTGACATCTGGTGGGTCTCGAACTCTTGCCTCAGTACAGACCAAGCCCCTAAACAATATTTATCGAGTCAAAATAACTTATAGACAACATATTTTAGACAATTATGAACAATCCTTAGCCTCACCCCTATACCATGTAATGATATGACAATGATGAGGTTTGCTAATCGAATCATCTTGACAATGATGTAACCACTCACGTATCAACAAGGCCTTATCAGTATTACACATAGCGTTATGTTGATTTCCGTTACTGATATGAGTATTGGAACAGCTTCCATATGGCTGTTGAATTTCCATGTGTATGTTTACTTTGGTTTAACAGGGATGCTTTTGGTAAATGGGTTGACAAATGTAAGTACAACAGAGGCAGTTTTTTTATAGGTTTTTCATATATTTTTTAAAAAAGTTTCAGAAATATTATTTTTGTGTTTGTTGCAGTTTGTCTACGGGTTTCTTTTAAGATAGTAAAATTATTTTTATCAATTAACAGCTTTACTAGGTTTTTTTGTATTATCGCACACCGATGTTTTAGTTTTTGAATATCGAGCAATAGCACGCTTAGCATTGTGATCTAGCTCAAGCTGGCTAACTTTAAGTCAAGCTTTTTGTGTGTAATTTAAACTTAAAAGATAAGAACATTTATATGACATATTTTTGAGCATTATGAAAAAGTTTTACAATTTTTATTGGTTGTAATTAATTAGGATCAATGAAATACAATGACATCCTAAACCGGTATGTTTCCGTGAATTTAATTTCTGAGAATATCGTTCGAAATGTATATTGTATTAAGGGCAAAGAAGTTAATACATCATAGTGTTCTCAATAACGAATATAATAAATTCCAGATTTGATTTGAAAACCTTTCAGCCTATTGTAAACCAATAATACTGCATTATATTTTATTGTGATGTAAAAAGCACTAAATTTTATTATTCTTTAAAAATATTTGTCAACAGAAACTATTTTATGTTTTGATTTAGTTTCTTAGTAATAAATAATTTATATACTTGGCTAATTACAGCTTTAATCATACTCTTATTTGCAGATCTAAAGGATATTGATGTGCATTTTAGGAAAGCAATTCTACTGGAAGTAATACTGTGAAAGGAGGTCCAGCTTTCTTAGTTGACAGAACACCATTCATAAAAGAAGTAATTGAAAAGGAAAACAACATTCTACTGGTCACGACACCCACTGGATTCGGGAAGACAAGAAATTTAAAATTGTTGAAATCCTTTTTAGAAATCGAATTTAACATGAAGGATGTGCAAAACTCCAAAGCGGATCCTGATTCTTCGCAAACAACAAACTCCACACTTTTTCCCAACAATCCTTACAACTTCACAGATTTAAAACCAACCACTAACCAGTATCATAAATACCCAGTTATAAATCTTAGTTTTGAGTGCTTCATAGCAGTCGATAGTTTCAAAGAAGCTGTCAAATTTTACAAAAGAGTCGTCCACAGATTGTTTAAAGACCACAAATACCTAACAAAAAGTGAAAGGCTTTCCTTGCACGATCGGAAATTGGTGCAATTTTGGAGCGATGATCATAACTTTTACACGTTTAGTACAGAACAAGTTATGAAAGGTCTGAGAGAGTTAACACGACTGATATGTAGACATTGGGACAGCAGATGTTGGGTGTTATTGGACGATTATGACCACGTGGTGCAAGCGGCCATGATGGAAATGGCGGACAACGACAAGTTCAGACGTGTCGTTAAGTTCACGTATCGGATGATAACGCATGCGTTCAGGAACAACAGTGATTGTGTATATGGCGCAGTTGTAGCTGGAGAATTGTCTTTAGCTGTGTTTGGAGTTAAAGATTATGTGAAGTATAAAATGTACAATTTTCTAGAAGACCACGAGTTTGTTAAATATTTCGGCTTAACATCTGAAGATGTTGAGGGAGTTTTATATAGTTTAAGTAAAAACAAAACATTTAGAACCGAAGTCGAGAAAAATTGTGGGGGTTATATAACTTCCAGTGGAGAGAAATTGTTTAATATTAATTTATTAAATAGATTTTTGAATGGCGAAAAGTCTAACCATGGAAGTGAAGTCAAAGATGAATTAAGAAACATAGTGAAAATACCTCTGTTTAGAGAAATACTAGAAACTCTTCTTGAAGGAGAAACTGTTGATTTTCACAAAATTGATGTTTTTGACCTAGATGACCTTGTGGATTTAAGATCAATATTGTTGAACATAGATCTGGAAATTACTCCTAGGATTTTTAATTTGCTGATTTCGTATTTGTTTCATAAAGGGATTTTAGCTTATAGTGAACCTACAAACCAGACAGCAAATACGATGAACATAAGCTACGCTAAGATACCAAATAATTATATGAAAGAAGCAATTAAATCTGTATTATATTAATTTGTTTTTTATGTAAAGACAGGTACATATTAGCACAGAGTCTGTATACGAGTTATCCATGCCAATTTCTTTAAGTAGGAATGACAAATACTATGTTACGATTATCTACTATCATTTAATTGTAGTTTAATTACTAACACAACTATGTACTAATTATAAGTTTTAAGTGTTTATCAATTTAACTTCAAACTACAATTCCTCAAATTTTCTGAGCTATTAGAACTGATTTACATAATGATTTCTCATAAGATTGGTGGATGTAAAATATGGTTCTAATAGTACTTTGATGAGGCATAAAATATACATTCCTATTTTGTCAAAATATGCAAACAAAAATGTATCAGATATGTATCAGATTATTCCAGCACCAGAATAAAAAAATAAACCATCATATAACAGTGTTTTAAACCTCATTAGATAGTTATGTTTTACAAAATACAGAATATATGGCTTTAAAGAATTGGATTCAAGAGCCTAAAAATCTAAAGCAACACATTCACATAATTAATTATTATAATTTACTTTTGGCAACAAATCACTGTTCGTTACGGAATTGAACTTAATTTGAATAAAGTGTGAATGTGGTGAAGTGGGATGTGTCGGGTAGTTTTGCTGCTGACTACTGAATAATGTACTGTAATAATGTTGAGAGATAAGGGATGTTAAAACTAAACGGAGCGACACTAATTTTATCTTTAACCTACGTTCAGAAACAGTTGAAACCTTGGCAGTGAACTCTAAACAACAAAAAACTACAAAACACCCTCTAAACTTTTACAAGTGAGGTTTTACACAAATTATTTACTTGAAATTACTTTACCTCACTAGAGTGGATAAAATAAGGCACACAACCTCGTTCAAAGGACTCTTTACTGGTCGAGCTCGAGTTTACAAAAGATTTGACCCTTTTGTGTCTGTTGTGGGTCGACATTAAGGGAGTTTGTTTCCTCTTGTCATTACTTAAACACTAAATAGTTTACAATATATGCACAAAATGCATTAAAATAACACCCTATTGGTAAATATATATCTTAAGACAAATGTATTTTATAGATTTATACATTATAACTGGCTAATTGTAATTAACCTTTAATAAATAAACTGAATAAAATATATCTTTTAGTATATAAATTCAACAAAATGACGTGTCCAACAAATTGGTCAAATAAATATTCCTTAAACCATTGTAAAGAATTGTTTAAGATTATTGTTTGAGGGTTTAACAGAACTGGATAGTCTCTAATGGTATCTGCACCTCAGCTGAGTGTATCTATTATTTCCATTCTGTTAAAATAAATACACTTTGTACTGGTATTTCCACTGACTCATTCACTCAGTGTGATATTCTATTAAAAATTATATTCTGTTCATAATAAAAGTATATCACATCATTTAATTTCTTAACACGTTTTTTCCTAGCCTTCACACTCCGCTGTAGGTATGGTCTAGCATGACCTATAATGTGTGTTTTAAATACATTAATGTATGCGTTGGACATAGTTAGTTTCTCTTTTTGTGTGTTTTATTATAATAGAATTAATTTTGGAGAATAGTAATACCAAACTCATACAAAACTATGTTTATGTACTGGTTGAATAGACTTCTTAAATGACATGCCCACAAATCAGGATAGACATATTGTTTTTTCAAAATTGTCAATATAGGTAACAGAAGGAAAGGAGCTAACAATTAATTAATATAGCTTGTGTGAGAAGCCTACTGACAACATTAGTAGATAACCGTTTTACAATGTAGAAAAAAGTATAAAATATATATCAGTCATTTCGATCCATCATTATTTTACAATACATCATCATTGATCAAGTGAGTCAGTGATGAATCGGTTCCAGATGGTGACAGATTACTCTTAATGTAGGAACTCTAATATTTGATAATTGTATCATTCGTGTATTATAATTTATTTAGTCTCTTTGTTACAACTGTGTTAAATAAACTAATCTTGAGTTAGGTAGGGTTTGAGAATCATCCTTGCTGGTATAAGCGCATAAGTTTTGTTTTCTAAATTTCAAATATTATCTTTCTAAGCTTGTTCTCATTGAAGCTTGTTTTTGATTCCGAATCGACTAGTTACTGTAGGAACATATTTTTACAAAATCAGAAGAACCTTTTGGCATCCAACTAATGGAAATCAATGCATTTTACTTAACAGTTTGGCAGATGTAATTATTGGAAGTTTTCATGTGGGCAGACAAATGATCAATTGGCCGTGGAACATATTCTCAAGTTATAAATCAATTTTTGAACTGTTATGTTAAAAATAAATCCATTCGATATATTCCTATTAATATAAGCCTGTACGTCTAAAAGCCAAAGTACTTAAATCAATACACCAATCAATTAATCAATTATTTAAGATGGGGACCCCTCTATGTGCGTATTTTATCCCAAATATGAGTGAAGGATACAACTGCTATCCAGTAAAGAAGGTGCAAATTAAACTTTGATTGCTAAATACACACAATTTTTAGTTTCAGGTGTTGTACTAGTTTTCTATCGTGCATAGTCATTTCGTTAAATTGCTTTAGATTAAATAATAAATGTTGTTTAGGAATTAAGTGAAAACTGAAAATGGTGTTAATGGAATTCATCCAAATGGTGTGCTAACATGCAAGCTGATAATAGTTAATACCTTTGCAGGATACTGAGTTATGATTGTTGATAAAACCCTTACTCACTTTTGGAGGTATGGCTTAAAAATAATCCAGGCAGTAACTAAACGGTAAGTAGATCAGTTAATAAAAAGGACGCTTTTTCAAAACACAACCCGAATTACGAGTAATGTGAAAAAATGTTTAACGACAAAACAAAGTCCTAGTTGATAATCCTGTTTTCATTAATTCAATGCCGATCAGGTTATATGCACTTTTGCATGGACATCTTTGAGGCTTAGTGTTAGTGGGAATTAATTTTTAATAAGACTCAGCATAGTGTTTTTGAAAACTAAAATAGACCATTAATTGTAGGTCTATTTTCGTCCACAGATCAGGGTTTCATAAATTTTTTACAAGTCTACGAGTTGTTGGGTGTAATTAGGTACCGGGATCACACCTAAAATTTTATTTCCTACCTTTTTTGCCTAAAACAATAAATTCACAATAACACTAAGCCTAATAAAAAATTATGGTCATGTACAGCCCTTTCATGAAAAATACTAAGTAAATTAAGTTGAAAAAGATAAATTGTAAAGTATAAAAGACAAAGCCAGGGTTAAATGCAAATGTGGCTTCTATTAACCCAGGAAATGAGTTTCATTGTTCACACACTCTGTCGCTTGTGGAACCGTTCCCATTCCAGAGACTGAACGTTTGCACAGTTAATAAACTGGATGACATTAGGCCAACTCAGATACAGAAATAAGTAGTAAGAATTAATTTTTGAGATATAATAAAAGTAAGATTTAAAAAGGTTACTTTAAATTCCTTCCCTTACCTAGCCACTATTCTATTACTTTTTTAATCCCCTCTATTTGGTCAAGCCCTAGTACAAAAAAAGGAGGTCCTCTATACATTTTATTTATTTTTTTATGTAGTTGGAGGCTTATTTTAACCCTGCATTTGCCCATCCACATAGACTACGGATCTGTGCATGGAACGTATCCAGCAAAACAAAGGGTGAGTCAATACAGTACACGGGTGAAGTGTACTGATAATAAGTAGTAGCAGTGTCCAGGATTCGAACCTTTGACCTTCGTGACCTCGCTGCCTTGGGCCTGAAGTCCGTGGAGCTACAGACTCACCAAACACAACATACTATCTTCATTCTTTATTTGACAAATATAAAAAATAAGATGCAGTAGAAATTACGGCAAAAGATTAGTTACTTTTGAGAAAATAGGATTGTTTTTAGGTGCTCAAGAAGTCAAAACAATTTCCAATTTGCCAAAACACACATTGGCATACTATTGCGTCTACACAGCAAATTTAAAGATAGACGTATAGTAAAAATGCATATATGAGTACAATAATGTAACTTTACAGAGGATGTACCAAGAGGTAGTGTAGTACAAATTATATGTTGAATATACAAATACTTTATGTGGCATTGTAACGGTAGGTACCTCTGGCTGGAGTTACCCACTGTTACTTTGGGTGACGTAGCTCAGGAATGAAACTCAGCACTCGCTTACAAAACCCGACATTAATTAATCCAAAACAATACAAACAATACAAAGATTAAGTAACAATCAAAAAGATAGAGTAGATTGGAACTGTATAAATCAATAAGTTAGAACAAAGTTTTGAAAACCTTTAACATTGTCTTACCTGGACCCAGGGCCAAAGGCCCTGAGCTCCAACTCCCCCTGTCCTCCAGTACACCAAACTTACCCCAGGACAGTTGAACTGGTCTACTTAAAACAACAGCCTTCTGTAAGTCAGCACAACAAGCTATTGTATAACAACACTACCAGCCTACTTACACAACATTGCCACTCACTTCCTGTTCACAATCTTTGACCCCTCCTATCACAGGATATTGTCAAAAACAATACACCGGCGGGTTGTGGAAACATGAATTGAACGTGAGGCATAACAAAACTCTGTTTATAAAGGGAACAAACCCACCTCCTGACTGACAGCAAAGATAAGGTATTCATAAGGGGAGGAGACGGCTTATCTCAAGTAAGCTTGGGTTTACACCCCTTTGAGCTATCTCTTGATCTGATATTTCTTTTACTCGGTGTTTGGAGCTAATCAGGTTAAAATCCGGTGATATGCTTACTACAAATTAGAACAATAGTTATGGGAAAACAAATATCACATAAATGCAGTTATGGAAGGTGAAGTTGCTATTTTGTTTGATACTTTATTCAGTTGTCAGAATATCAGAAAAAACGTACGTTGATAGAGTAAATATTAACAAGAAGAAAGTTCACAAACAACAATATCATACATTTAAGTTTATATTATGCTATTGTACATACTTCCAAGGAAACATCTAAAAATTATAAGATTTTATAATAATTGAATTTCATATTACCAAATAAACAAATATCAAAATGGTTAAACGAAAACCTACATAATAATTAACGTGCATCAAAT